CTTTTTACATCTATAAATATACACACTTTTTCATACTTATATAAATTCAACAGATTTAGATGAAAATTAATGTTGAATATTGATGTCAACTGGGGGGTGAAATTTCTAAACTTAAATGTTTTATCTTATTTACAAAATGGTAAAACAAACTCCATGAAAACATACATAGGTAACAGAGAGTGAGGGGAGAAAACTTTCAGTCCAACATTCACATCTGCTGCCCAAATATGTGACTTAGTCTCTTAAGGCCACTTATCACAGGTGATATAACTTCACAGCCATAATCGTTTGAGAATCAAGAGCCAGAAACCGGATCAAGAAGATTCACACCTCCCTCCTCTAACACCTGAGCAAATATTCTCAGTTCAGCCAAATCAGCTCCATGTGAAAAGACAAAGATAATGCACACAATGAGGAGCATTTGTGCATAATGTAAGGACACACAAACACATTACGGTAATATCTCACTAAATTTGGACAAAACACATTAATCGTATGTACAGATACTGTATTTTGCAGCACATATCTTGAAAAGAAAATTGAAAATTGAAAAAGTTTTAAAAGTTAGTTGGGTTCATGTAAATAGATGAAAAGTGTGATTATGCATCTGTTTGTGGGATAAAATATTGAATCTTGAAAAATTATGATACTGAAATTTTGTGAAGTGATTGCAATTTGTGAATATATATATATACACAGACAAAATTATGAATGGTAACTCTGTCCATGGTATATACTTATCATTTCACCAACGATAACCCAAACCTAATCTGCCTCGAGTGCTTATGCACAGGCATAAATTCCACAGTGAGAAAAATAGTCCAACATCAAACACATCTTTTTCTCATTTGATCTGACCTGTTATTAGCAATGATGAGTAATCTTATTCTTTTCCCCTAACAGTAGTCTTAAACAAATATGGGCATACTGTTAAAGGGTGGTGGCTGTGTGTTTTCTATTTACAAAAACAAGCGCTGTCAGAGACTTGCTCAAATGTGTATTCCCTCCGCTGGTATCTCTAGCTGGTGAAAAAAACTACCACCAACAGTGGACCTAAGTGTATTCATGTGGTGTTTTTTATGACTGCTGGAGAACTGACAACATTGATGGAACAACTCCCACATGCAGCCTTACATACACTTGTACTGGTTAAGCCTATAAGTATGTACACAGTGTTTTACAATAATGAGTAATATGTCTGAGCTTTTTTCCCCCTTTTTATGTTGATATGCAGCAAATAAAGCATGAATTCTACTTTCACATTTAAGGATATTTGATTTATATAATTTCAAAAACTGACATTAAAAATCTTCATCTTTTATCTTTCTTGGAATTGTTAAAGTGAACAAAAGAAAAAAAAGTCACTTGAACTTATATATTATTTATAACTATACCTTTTAAAACTGCTGAGAAGAGTATGACATAATAACTTATCTTTTATGAAATATTCTGTACTTATGGCTCAATAGAAAAGTAAAATCTCTGTACAAAGTACAAAAAACATTACACCCAAGTATCAAAAGACTTCCGAAGGTATGCTACTCTTTTGACAAACTGACACTCAATACCTGTAACACTACAAATAGATGTTACAGTGCATAAAATACAAAAAAACTAAAACATTTGTACTTCAAAAAGGATTGCATTTTTTCACATGGAATAAATAATGATCGATGAACTGCAGTATGGGTATTCTCACTTAATTCATTTTTCTGATTGAATTTCACATAATTCTTGCTGACATAAAATGGCCCCTGATTGATGAGCAGAAAGTGGACCTTTAGTAATAATGATCCCAACATTCCTTAACCTGTCTCATTCAGATCCCGATGACGCCTGAGTTCAGAATCAAATGTCTGATTTTATTGCATGACTGTATAGATAAATGATATACCACTAGAACACAAAAGGCTCAAAATGCCAGTCAATGGGTGTCTGGATATTTGTATGCCTGTGTCATCACACTGGTTGACAAATACAGGTATATTTAACCTTTTTTCAGAACTGAGGACATTGGTGTTGTTTTTTTTCTATAGTTGCTATTACATCTTTCTCACTTGCATGTAGTGTTGTAAATGCATAATGAGAAACAGAGAACCAAAGTTAAACAAACCCAATTATACTTATAAAATGTTATGTATGAGAAAACTTCATTTCATAAAAGATACAGTAAAAGAGAAACATGCATATTAAGAATACTGAAGTACCCACTTCTAGTTTTTTTGCCATATAGAGTTGTACTACATGACCATCTGCAATCAACTTATCACAATGTATTTTTCTACCTGTTACAAGGCTTAAGGTAGATTATTTACTTTCTTGGCTGCGTTTTAAGGCTATTTGCTGAATAAAGAGATTAGTATAAGGTTCATTCCCCTGCCATGTTCTGTTTACTTGCATAAAAGGATTCTATTTATTTGTTCTAACATCTGAAAATATTTGCCGAGAGTAATCTCTGTTGATATGTCCATAAAACTCCCCTGTCTGCTTTGTGTTAAATAAGGAGAAATTAACTGCCTTCCTTTTAACCCAATCAACATCTTGACCTTAAAGTTCAGCAATCATTTCTAATTATGAATAAAGACAACAACCCAATTTGTACCCTGATTAAATCTTGGGGGCAATATTTCTGAATGATTTTCATTACTGCCTTTCAATTCATTGGCATATCGGATCTCTATGATATGAAGAAAACAGCTTTACTGCCTGATCTGGCTCTGATTTAAAATGGCAAGTTTACTCAAAGCATTGTGCTTCACTTGCCAGTCTGAATCAAACGTCAGCCTTTATGCCACCAGCTTCAGAGAAAGAAATTGATTGCATTACTCAATGCTGTGGCTTGTTGAAAAAATGTTCGTTATTTGGTTCAAACTTGCCAGAGATGAAGGTATTTAAAAAGCAGCTGAATTCCAGTACAAACCAGTATGTGTAAAATGCATGAACAGACAAAGTAAATAGCAAAAACTGACATAGCTGAAACTGAATAGACATAGAAGTATGTTGAAGGTAGTTAAACCTTCTCCAGACTTCAATATTGACACTCTGTGGTGACTAAATTTTATCTGTCACCCTGAAGTGTTATCATCCAATTTAAGTTCTGCAGAGTTAAGCTGAGCTAAATATGTGAACACATTAAGTTATTAGAGTTTGTATAGAAAAGATTAGCACTTGGGGGGGCATCTAAGGTGTTGTATTAAAATTCGGTATATAGCATCGTGTTTTGATTGTTTAGGCTCAAAATGCAATTCTGAAATAATTTTATTTTTTCGCATACCACACTCTCCAACACCGCTGCAGGTCTGCAGGTGAGTTGAAACAGACATTTAACAGCAGCACAATAATTCCTCTGCTTGCTAACTGACATGTGTAATGGCCCTGTAAGTCCTTCCACTTTATAAACCGACATATTAAATAGCATTGTGACTGCCTCCACTTTGAAGCTGAGTGAAATTAACAAACAATTGGGCAACTTTCACTATATGTGCCTTTTGGGTAAGAGAGTATAGAGGAGTAACTTGATATTGTTGTAGCGTTATTCCGGCTACACCATGTCATGGACACAATTTCATTTACAATTCAGTATGTATGCCTTTTCATAAAGCAAATTACCAAAGACAAACATGCTGCAATTTATTGCAGCTAGCTTCTCCCCTTCAACAAAAGCAACTCTGATGTAACTCTTTCATGCCCGCCAGGCAAAAATCGCCATATTAACCCTTTCTACATCCAAGCAAGGGAAAAGGCTTTTAAAGAAATATACATCACTCTCAACAAATGCTTACTTAATCTAGCAAAGAAAGTTTGATGTAGATCTTAAGACACTGTGATACCTATTGCAATTTCTTTTGTGTAGGGGATTGACTTTGCACTACAATTTACGGATGCTAATTCATAATCTTGCATCTAACAAAAACAACAAGATCAGTTTTCCATGAAGAAATGTTTCTTAAAGTCAAACTATGCATAACAGCTTATATATATGCTGTTATTACTGTTGCATATATGCACAAAGAGGTACATAATAATATTTTTGAATTTTCAAATGTAACCAGTCTTTTTGTGGGCTTGTCAAAATACAAATGTGAATTTTAACATTTCTAATTTGATTCTTGTAGTGTGGTCAAACCTCAAGAAATAAGGAATATTATAGAGGGCAAACTTGACAGGAAACTTAAATTTGTGTGCAACTGGATCACAATTTTTTTTATAAATGTTTGTTTGGCACTGGAGCATGTTTTTCGTGTTTGTCTGAGGCTCGACCATAATTGTTCATGTCAACATTCAGGTTTCCTAGTGCATCATATTCCAGGTCTTCTTCTAATGCAGAAATAATGTATAAAAGCTGTGTCAACAATCCAGTTCACCTAAAACTGTTTATATTATGAGGACACTGGAAGGGGATGAAATTTCTAATTATTTCTGGCTCTTTAAATGCTTTTTAAAACACACAACAGGCTATGAAAAAAAATCAGCTGTTCACTGCTTTTTTCAATCTTCTCCCATGCTAATTGAAATTGAATTCTTTTTTTTTTTTTTTGAAGAAATTAATCTTCAATTCTAATTTCCCTTTACAGCAGGTGTAGATGAGACAAAAGGGAAAAACTTGTTTTTATGTTCTTGCAGCCTTAAAAACAACAAAACCCACAATATGTTCTCAAGTGTACAGCTGTAGGGACATTGGGCAAAAAACCAGAAGCAGACCATTTCACCCTTAAATGCCAAATAACATTTAGTATTGAACATGTAGACAAGTATAATGAAAACAAGCAAGGGGACATAAATAATCATCACATGAAATTAAAAACACTTTGGCCATCTTCTTAAATACAGTCAAAATCTTCATTCTAAATCCTGTAATATTAAAGTGGCAATACAACAATTTATCCCAGTGGCTACAGTTATCACACACTTCCTAGGCAAAATCATTTCAGTCTGATATTTAGCTTAACCTTATAAGCTGCGAAGGTAAGCTGAATAAGTAGTAATCAATGATTTCTTACCTGCACAAAAGGGATGGGTGTCTGTCTGGCAGGGGACGTCCTCGGTGTCGGGGTGAGATCCTGTGTGGATTGACAAGTGGGAGAGCTGCTAGGGGAAGGCAGATCACAGGAAGCTGCGCTGGCAGCAGCTTCACGGCTCAGATGGACAGAGCGAAACGCCTCTTCCATGGTGACGCTGGTTTTCCTCACAGGGCTGGGGTCTTTCATTATGCCGAGAGATGAGGCAGAGGAAGGGGAATAAGACAGCTTGCTTTTCCTACTCCCGATCATGCCCACAGCGCTTTTGCTGCGGGTTATCCCCTTCCCCGGCCCTGGGATTGTCAGGGTGCGAGGTCTGTCCTGAGAATCTGAAAATGAAGTCTCCGGGCTCGTCGAGGACCTCTTGTGGTGGTTGTCTTCAAGTTCGATCTTGTCTGGTTTAACAATGATGAACTTTCCTTTGGATGATAACTCAATTTCTTTGGTGTCAGCAGCACGTATCTTTGGTTTGGTGGAAGGCAAGATATTTTCTGACTTAGATTTCTCTCTAGTGTCCTCCTGGCTTCTCTGAAACTCTGGCAACTGGGTAATTTGGTCTCTTTCTTCTAATAACTGAGGAGTACTGGCACTTTGGGGCTGTACAGATTTTTTTGTGATGTTTGGGATGTCTACACTTTCTTTCATTTTATCCGCGCTTGGGTCACTTTTCGACTTCACTTTCAGAGAATTTCTATTACGACGTGATACATCCAAGCGATCAATCTCCCCTTCGCCTACAATGACGCTCTCAACCACATCACTGTAAGAAGTGATTTCTGAATCAGTCTGCGATATGTGGCTATCTGCTAAGGAGTGGACACTCATCTGATCGTCCAGCTGGCCCTCACAGACCTGCGGCCCATACCCCTTCTCTGGGTGTAGGGTTCCGAAACCATTGCTGTCTTTTGGTCCCCTCTCCTCACTCTCAGGCATTTTCTCAGTGCGACCAGGGGGATGGGTGATAAATCTACCATTGGAGGCTTTATTCCCCCCTGACCGTCCAGAAGAATCGATTCTGACCCGTTGCCTTGATCCAGACTGCTCTGAACCCTCATGCTCAGAAACAGGACTGGTGATAATTTTAGGCAAATTTCTGGCATCGTATCCTGATCTTCGACGCATTTTTGGCAATACTACAATGGTTGGTGATGCTGTGGTGACTGTCTGAATAGCATCAGAATAACCACTTGATTGTTCTGATTTATTGTCTGATTCACTTCCATCTTCCACAGCGCTGTCAGATGTAAACACCTCATCCTCATCGTCCACTTTCAAGGCAGGCGAAGTCTTGGCGTTCTTTTTGGGTGTTGACATTTGCTGGGGAGGCGAACTGGTTAAATGGTAGTGGTCAAAAATGGTGTCTCGATCCAAGGACCCAGTTTTACTGTGACGAAGGTGATGATTATCATCGAGCTCCTGCTCATGAATCTCTATTGATGCTGGCTCACTTCTGGTCTCTGAATAATTATCCTGTGAAACATTCTCTTTGTTTAACATTGCCAGTCGCTGCGTTAAGTTCTGAAGTTTATTTGAACCTGACATATTCATGTCACCATAGGTAGGAGACTTAATGCCAGGTGACATCATCATTGGAGACGTTGGAAATGAGCGCGTGCTCGTGCCATACCGTGATCTTAAACTATACTTAGTCAAAAAATCATTACTTAGAATACTTCTCTGTGCAGCACGCAGTTGCTCCCCAGAGAGTTCAGATGCTGGCTTACGACTCAGCGTAGGGCGCCTGAACGTTGCAAATGGCGGCAGATTTGGTTTGGCTTTAAAGCTTCCTGACCTAGAAAGTGAAGGCGTAATGGAGGGGGGAGACCTAGCATCCATGTTACTGCTAGTGTCCTCGACTGATTCCACACTGGAGTCTTTTAACGTATCCACACTGGATCGTCTGCTGCTACTTAAAGAGCTGATAGGAGTGCTGTCTGAAAATGACTGCAGAGTTGCAAGACGTGCAACGTGCACTTTTTTCACACCAAACACACTGGCGTTGTATTGGCCACTCTGCTGTCTGGTTTTTAAATTTGTAACATTACTGAGAGCAGATCTTTCTGAAAGTGATATACTGCGCTGACGTGACTTTTGTCGTAAGTGCATCAGCTCGCATTGTGCCATCCCACTCGCACAACAGTCCTCGTCTTCCTCTGACGTCTGACTAGAACTCCTGCGACGGGCACGATTGTTTGGCTGAACCTGTGACTGTGTGTCATTCCAGTACAGAGTTTTATCAGCATTAGTATTAGAGGGGTATGTCTCAAACTTTGGGGGTTCAGTCACAACTCCTTTTCTCCTACGCGAAATGACAACTCCAGTTGTAGGAGCATCCACTGACTCTGAAGCACCAACTCCTGTTGGGTTATCTGCCTTTAAACTGACAACCTCTGCTTTATTATTATCTGACCTTGCCAATAACTCTAAGCGCTCATCCCTGTAGTAATCCTCGACCGTAGATTCGCTGAAACTTCTGCGAAATGGAGGTCTATTATCATAGGTAGATATTGACTGACTGGGAGAAACATGTGAGGAATGCACCTCCTTATACTCTTCCGGAGCTGACAAGTGCTGCTGGCTTAATGCATGCACTTGTACACTCTGTGAACCATCTGCACTGGTTTCATTATAACCCCCAGTGCTTAGTGGGGTTAATTCCTTACTCAGTGCTGGACAAGTAGCCTCACTCCAGCGTGCAGTCCCAGTCGCATAATTATTATCATTCTCCTTGTGGGAGTCTGCACTACTGGTAGAATAGTCCTGGCCCAGATCAGCTGTTCCTTCCTCCTTGGAAAATAACTTTTTCCTTAAAATATTTTGGCGTGTGAGTTCATTCTGCTGACCTTTACCAGTTTCTGAAACTCCGATACCAGTTACAATGGTTTTTCCTCCTTCTGTATCTAAATCCCTGCTGAGAGCCCTTTCTGCATTACAGAAATCCCCTACTTGTGCCTCACTGTTATAATCACCATCATGACCGTAATTAGAATTTTTCTCAAAGGTAAAACTTTGGTTCAAACCTCCTGAAAAAATACCAGGCTCCTGGGCTGATATAGCCCTCGCTGTTTGTGCTACTGCCGATCTGATTTCTACCCTTTCTTGTGAACTCTCTCTCCACTCACTACACCTCAGCTGTTCTCTAGAAGTTATTTTAGGTGCTTCACCACCAGCAAGCTGTCCGCTTTCACTAGTGTACAAGGCGTCTGTAGCAGATTGATGGGGCTTGCCTTCCCCACAATCACCGGTAGTGCAAACAATCTGTTTTTCCTCCGTTAAACATTTATCATCCTGGACTCCAGTATTGTGAATGCTACCCAAAGCCCCAGGTGCACCGACACAGGGATGCACGGCGTAACGGCGGAGCAGCGATGAGCGAGACGCAGCGCTGCCATGAATCGAATCCCCTTCTGTGGCTGCTAGGTCTGGCCGTGCGCCAGAACGCAAGTCGAGTCCGTCGGCTGACATAGACTGAGTTTAGATAAACAGCTGCAGCATTGGCATAGGCGGTAATCCGATAGCCGGCAGCCTCTGAAGCACTAGGGTTTGCTGCAATCATGAGAAGATGAAGCAATATAAAGAGCACTCCGGCACGTTCGGCGATCTGTCTCTCAATGTTGACGACATCCGCTGGCTGCAACCTCCACAGTCAAGTGCAATGTTTACATTTGTGACAAAGGTCAAATGCGTCTGTAACTTGGTCAAATATTGACTTTTTCTTATACGAGACTTACGTGAGTTTTCTATCTTCTGATTAGTGCTGAAACTGTCTACAAAGAGGTGCCACCTGCGCCGTTTAGCGCCGGAGAGATTGCGACCTCCCCGTTCAATCGCCTCCTTTTACACACTCACTGGGCCACGCGTGCCTGTCAACCAGCGAGACTACACTGTGCCCACTACGACCCGATCCTGACTATGTCGCATTACTGCCCTGAGGGGCAAGCGCATTAATGTACGATAAATAGCCTGATTTTCTACATGGCTGAACGCATTGCACGCGCTCAAAGTCAAATTTACATTCACGTGGTTGATCAAATGCAGAATCGAGTAAATTTATTGTAGAATTAGCGAAATGAACGACATGCGACAAAAGGGTCCTGCTGGTGCCCCAGAGCTGGTCACGTGATCTAATTAACTTCCGTTTTCATTCTTTCGTTCACACCTTTATGTCAACAAGAGCATTCTCTTGTAAAATAATGAATAAAGTTGAACGTGACGTCTTTGTTTAGTCGATGGATAGAAACATGACCATTTGCACTTAAACGTTTATAGCGTGATTGTCTTGGGGGGAAAGAAAGTAGATGGAGAAATTGTCCTTTGTTAAAGACTGAAGTAGTGAAGAGAGCAGTGAAGTTAAATAAAACAAATAAACAAATTAAAATTTTGCCCGAGGCACATGTATCTTTCTATATTTTCAACATCTTAATTCTGGTATACTCGAACAGTGTGTTTGATAAGCCCAGAGAAAAATGTGTTAGCAGTGTGCGATTGTGTTATACTTTAGTGAAGAGGTTAGGCTGCAAAATCTTCAGCTTCAGTAAGAAAAATTCACGTGCTGCAGCAAATCGGCTCTTTGGAAGCAGATTCTACAAATTTTACAAACTATTGCTTACACAAAATTAAACAAAACGGCACAAGAAAATGTACCAAATTGAACATGGCAAAACATCAGCTTGATCGACGAAAATCAGTTTTCTGTTCCAATCAATAATAAAGATACAAAAAGCCAATTTAAACCTTTTTCTACATTTTATTGTACAACAGTAAAAAGGACTTGCGATTGTTATTTACAGCCCGTGCTTCTCAAAAGCCACAAGTTGAACATTCTTTAGAGTTCAAAAGAGGTAAACATTGTCAGTTTAAAATATCAAATGTAACATTTGCTCCTAGCCAACATCTATTTCATAATTAACAAAAATACGTTTTAAGACAAAAGAACACAAAAAGGTTGGTGTAGATATTTCATAAAAATTCAGAAGACGTGTCTCTTTTGTCATTTTCTATGATGGAAAGACGAGAACTTCTTATCTGCCAAAATGTCTATCCCATTTTCTATTGTTTGTTGATCAAGTGAAAGCACAACTTTTTATAGAAAACACAACAAAGTAAACATGGCATATCTCAATCAAAAACAAAGCAGAAGATCTTACTAAACCAAAAATGTTTCAAAACAACTTCTTTCTAACCCTGTTGCCCCACATATATTTGAATCAAGAGTTTTTAGGGATGAGCACCACAAACCAACTGGTCAACATGTAAAATGAGTAAAATAGTTGTCCAAGTGATCTTGTTCTATTTTTTCCTTTTGCTTCTCCTTTTGTCACATCCAATTGACTGTAAAAGTAAACATCATTTTATAAAACAAATTGGAACAGTTGCTATTTAGCATTGCTCCAGATATTATACTCAGTTGTTTTGAGACTAAATGCTTTCCAGAACATTCTTCCTCCTATGTTAGACATGCCTTTGTTGTTTGCTTTAAGGTTGGAACTAATTAGATAGTGACATGTCCATAACGAATTAGTTAATTAGTTAAACAAATTATGAAACCTCCTATTTATTTATGTGGCTGCTCTTGTCAAACTGCATCATTTCCAAAGGGCTTTCCTGCCTTCTTAAATTATACTGACCTCAAGAAAATAAACTGTCACATTCCCAACTTTATCCTTTATCAAATGCACAGACCTTCATATATCTTTATATACACATATTTTACAATTTTGTTTCTATACAGTACATGTGCTATCTTCCATCTCCACTGTCTCCTAACCTGCTACGTGTCACTCTCCTTGTTGGCCCACTAACATCCGACACATCGCTGACACTTTCCACATCAACGGAATCCGAATCCGAGCTGTCACTTTCACTGCTTTTTCTAGTCCTCGTTTTCTTGCAAATTTCTCTAAACACCTCAGAGTTCCTGAAATTGATAGCTTTTTTGGGCCTCCGTGTGGTGGACCGCGTTTCACGATCAGGTGTTGTGTCTCGACTTGACCGACAAATACTGATTTCATTGTCTACATTTTCAAACAGTCGGTCACGAGAGTTTGTGTCAATGTCCATTTCAATCCTCCTCCTGGTACTCCTGGTTTCAGGACTGTTCAACGGGTCTGAGAGTCCAGAATTCCGTAGATTGGGTGAACCACGAGTGCTCAAAAACGATTTTTGACCGTTACCTGAATGCCCATTAAATCTCTTGGACTGAGGCGTCCTACTTTCCTGTAATGTAGTAACATTTTGAACTGGATCCTCCTTTTTAAGAAGTGGTTTGAAATAAGAATCAAGCCTACGTTGTGTATGGTCATTGACTCCGTTTACTGGCCGAAGTTTTCGAGATCGGAATACTTTATTTTGTACTTTCTGCTTTATCTGTTCAGAGACAAGATATTTTGATGCAGGTTTTAAGGAAACACCATTCAAGTCCTTCTTCTCATCAAGGTGCAAGTCCATTCCTCTCCTGTTCAGAATTTTCTCTGGACTAAGCCTGTTTTCCTTTAAACTGGAGGGTGAGGATGGGCTGCCTCGTGTCATACGTTCTCTCTTACTTTGCTCCTCAGCAGCAGCAAAGTATAAATCATAAACAGTTTCTCCTTTTCCTTGGTCGATGACTTTTTGGATTTCCCTGTTAGACATCCTGGGGTCACCTTCAACCACTTCTGCCTGCTTGAAGAAAATTTCTTCTCTTGATTTGTAGTAGGAACGCCTGATCTTCTCTCGTCTGCTTACCATGTAGCACAGATTACGAACCTGAGAAATAGATGATGTCAATTATCACTGTACTCAATGGCTTAATTGAGTGTCAAGTATACAATGGCACATACTTGAGGCAGGTGCAAATTTATTTTCTAAGAAATGACATGACACATATGACCACATGGAGACAAAAATGCGTGCTCAAATATTTGTCTTTGTGTATTCTTCAATATTTGTTTTTTCCTCTCTTGTCAAAGAGTCAGGCATTTTTTCCTGCCAAAAGGCAATTACCACAGTCACACAGAAAGTTCAAGTATTACTAATAGGCCTCGGGCATTCTTCTAGTGTCACCCGAGACATGTTGAAGGGGCTAACTCTTTTCCGAGGATTGCCTAATTAAACTATGCTCACCACAGGCAGTATATGTAATCTGTCACTCCTCCCACTCACAGTCATGTCTACTGCATAGCTCAGCAAGCAAATGACATCAGAAAACAGAGCTTACATTTGTTTAACGCAATCAAAGAATCCATGAATCTAAATGCAAATCACAATGTCTTACACCACTGATATTTTTAACATTAAAAAACAGTGTGCAAAACACTATATATATATATTCCTTACCCTTTCCAAGTCTTGCCTGAGATGAACAAACATTTTCATCCTGGCTATCAGACTACTCTCCTGCTGCTTGTTTAACATGTCTTCCTCCTCCATCTTAGGCATCAGTAGGGCCTTGTTAAACCGAGCCTGAAATAGTTCAAACCTCAAGCATAATAATAATAATAATAATAATAATAATAATAATAATAATAATAATAATAACATATCATGTTCATAACTTTTGAAACCTTTATGATTTTCGCATTTCAGTCTAAAAAGTATGAAGTGACTTCACAAACTGACCATTTCCCCCCTATTTTTTTCCCATAAGGATGCCTACACTATAAAATAAAATGAAATTCTTAGATTTGAAATGACTTTTACTCTAAGATATCCTTACCCTTCTCTTTAACTTCCAGTATTCGAACACAAATGAGACCAGCTCTTCGTCAAGTTCTAATGCCTGGGCGACCTTTTCTACTTTTACCACTGTGTAGAACTCATTTTTAAGTTCTTCAATTCTGCAATAAAAAATTTACATTATTGATTCAATATATTATATACAACGAATGAAAAAACCTGAGCAAAAATAAAATGCTCAAAACTTTAGTAATTCAGTTTAAGTCTTCTTATTTCTTGAATTAAAAAAAAAAAAAATGTGTTCAGCATATAAAACATACCATTTCTCTTGTTAAGTATGGGTATCAGGCCTTCTATACCTTAAGTGAGGTTTTGTATTGAAATCTGTTATAGGCTTTCAGGAACGAGGACATGACTTATTATTTACAAAGCATGCCCTGTGGTTATAAATAGACTGCTACCAATAACCACAACCTTTATCATGCTACTAAAATGTCTGTTCTTTGTTTATCAAATTTAAAATGTCTTGACTTTTTACTTTGGGATAAAGTAGGGAGAGGGGAGCACAGTAAGGAGAGAGTGCTCTAAACAGAGTTGAGAAAATCCCAACAATGATGATTCTTTAAGTGGTCTTTGTAATACAGTTCAAACTAAACTCAATGATAAAATATCTCTAATATTTGCTTGCTTCATTACTAGTCAGGGCCAATAAAAGCCTATACATTTTACTTTTTTAAAATATTTACTAGTAAATCATATGCTTATTCATTCGGGTCTCATTGAATTCAGGGTTACAAACCAACACAAGCCGCAGTCTCTAATATAATGCTTCAAGATTTACTGTAACTTCTAATAGATAACCAATATACATCCTCATATCCAAGATCACCACAAGGGACTGTGTCTAACATGGCTTTGCTACTTATAGCCAACTGATAACTAGTTTACATCTTCTCCATCATAAGCAGTACTACATATCACCAGGAGACACAATGTCTAACATAAATTCACTATAATTTCTACTAAGATTTACTTTCAGTGATGATTAACTAGATTATTCATTACCAATACATGTCTTATTATATCTAGGGTAATATATAACCACACTCCTTACTTGTGAGCTCTGAGATTTTCCTTCTCTTGCTTGGTAAGTTCTTTCCTGGGTGTTCCTGGAGTTCCAGGGCTTCCCACCTTATATGGGCTGCCTGGGGGACTAGAATCAGAGCTGCTGCGTTTTCTACCACTGTGCTTGCTACAATAAGCCTAGAAAAGAAATGCAGGTAGGCAGGATAAAATCATGATGAGAACCCGTTTTGGAGATCATGCTCCCTGCACAACTGCAGTGCGTTTAATTTAAAACTGGACAAACTTGCTGTTAAAGAATACATTTAGTGATACATTAAAGTTAAAATAGGGGCAATAGGCATAAGTAAGTGAGTAAAAGTTGAAATGACTAACAAAACTGAAAGTAATTTTACAGCTGTGATGCATCCTGAATACTAACATGGTTACGGTCCAGTTATTTCACTACCAGGCAACCGGAGCAAGTGCAATGGGCACATTAAAATGCTGGGCTCGAGTACATTATTTTGAATAGGCAAGAAATAAATTGCAATCATCTCTTGAACAGTGATTATAAAACTGAAAGGTATAATATATTAGGAAAGAAAAACCAAGAATTTATTTATTTATTTTTAAAACAATATATCATGACATAAAAGTTTTATCCCAAATAAATAAATAAATAAATAAATAAATAAATAAATAAATAAATCATATATATAAACACTAACTCACCTTTAATTTCACATCATCCTCATCGTTCTCATCTAATATTGTCTTCATCTCCAGTCCATTTTGAAATGCACAGGTCACATGAAATGCAGTTTTGCAAGTTTTCACAGAGCACTGGATACATGCTCCTATGTTCCTCTCCCTGCAGAGGCTGCACACTAGGGCCCACCGGCTGGACTGGAAGAGACATATATCATGGTTATTTAATATGTGAAGGGATCACTGCTTTTATTATTTTACAACCGTTTAACACAGAGCTGAAATTGGCATTTTACACTTACAACCTGTTAACTCTATACTGACAGTCAGAAACAAGAGACAGCAAAAAACTGATTGTATGATCTTATTCTAATCTTTATGTTATTAAACCTTAATGATACTTCAAACACTGCCCTTCTCAGAAACTGCTATTGCTTTTATATTTCTTTGTGCTGACAGCAGGGCATATCATATAAAACAGACAACTGATAAATGTCCAGTTTAATATCAGGAATAATTCCAATGAAATATTGCAACTTACAGGAATATGTGATATTTTTGTAATTGGCTCCATTTTATCTGGGTCTCCAATACTAACTTCTGGAATCCAGAGAGCACAGCTTACATGGGCCCACTTGGTGCCACTCCTGTAATAATAGAAGGGAAAAAAAAGACCTTCAGAGCTGAATAATCACTTCCCTCTACTAACATTTTCATATTTTCAACAGCTTTACTTCACTAAAATACAAATGCTTTACGCACCTACATATAAAAACATTCACTAGGTGTGTCATAAAGAAATATTACAAGTTAAAGGAAATAAAAAAACCAAGACGGACGGTAAAAACTTATTCAAAGTCACAATTTTTCTCTTGGATTCTTACTTTGTGCTTTTCATTGCCCCTCCCCTGTTGGGGCAGAGAATACACTGGGGTTTAATCCCCAGGGCACATGTTCTACACAGCCAGCTACCATCTGGGATCTTCTGCACCCCATAGCAAGCCTGGTGCACACAGATATCACAGGAATCGCAAAACACCATCTCGTTGTGGTCCTCACTGTCAGGCTACAAACACAAAATATACATATAGACAGTTGATTTACAATATTCCTTTTGCTCATATCTTTGCCTCCTGAAATCAAACCTAGCTTTTGGTATGCATGTATGCACATTGATAAAAACTTGGAATCATTAAGCATTATAGAACAAGGCAGGTCTGAAAAACTTCAGCATACCCATGTTAGGACTTGGAGGTCAAGTGTGATATAAAATCTTACATGAAGCTGATATTACAATCCTTCTCATTTTTACCATTATCTTTTAACTACTACAAAAAGTTCCACATATCCCTATACTTACAGAGCGACACACATCACATACTACATTCTCATCATATTCAATGCCAAGGCCTTCTGATGTTTTGATTGTGGCTTCTATGTTTTCATGACACTGCAAAGAAAAATTTTAGTTTTTAGGACACTTTTTAAAAACATACCTCATCTTTGCTTAAGATGCTGGACTTGCAAATATAAAATCTATCTGACATTTGTGTTACAATGAATGTTGCTTTTTTTGATTTTCCAGAAATCATTTCTTTTTACTTAAAAGAAGCATTATTTAGACTGACCTGGTGTTCTAGTTCTTCTATAATCTTCTCCATGGTCCATTCCAGCATAGGTGGTTCACCTGAAATAACAACAAGTTACACAATTTCATGAATGCCAACACAAAAACATATCAAGTATGAACCGTGAGGCAAGCACAATTTAAAAAGGTTGGAACAACAACTTTGAGTTAAAAAAATCTTTTTTTTTTGTTAATAATTTAGTTGCTTTAATACTTTTCTAGCTGCTTAGGGTACAAATACAGTAAGTATCATTATAAGACATGGTGTACATTCACTGCTTACCCATCTCCTCTCTTTTTCCGTTAAATAGCTGTAACCACTTGACATCCATGTCGTCCAAATCGTAGCGACAGACTTGCTCAGCAAGCTGCTGCATGCCTGTTAACTCATGGATACCCTGTTTGTAGTTTTCATCTACTGTAGCATGGAGCTGCTTGCGGGGGCTGCAGGAAGAGCATACATGGGTTTAACAAGACACCAATGGACCAGTTTCTGTCTTTTAATCATCAATTGAAGAAAACTACTGACTGGCAATATTTTTACAAGTAAATTTTAATTTCAATTTTCGTGAAAAAAAAAAAAAAGTCAAGGTGGCCCAATTTTCAATGTACCTATATTCTGATCATCTATTTGTCAGAGACTACTACAACAAACAATCATTCGTGGACTTAAATATCAGGGAAGAAGACTTACATCTTGAAATCCCCCGTCTTCCCCAGTGACATAGTTATTCTCATGGAGGTCTTGGGCAGGACATCAGGGTTCACAGGAACCTGAACTCCTTTCTCCCACTCCTGGCGCCAAGGGTCACTGATGAAAATATATTCCTCATACATTGCTTCAGAATCTGCCACCTTCATAGCACTGATTAAATCCTTTCTGAAGAGCTGCAGATAAAAAAAAAATCCGTAGAAACTAAATGACTGTGTGGGGCTAGGTTTATCACGATAGAGAAATATGTACAGTACAAATACACCTATAATTTTAATTTACATTCAAAGTTTTGAAAGATATCTATGAAGTACTGAATTACATCATTACACAAGGGATGCAATGCAACAAAATATCAATGATGGAAAATTGAGAGTTCTGAATCCTTCATGTTTTTATACACATTTTTTGTTGAGAAACAAATTGCTTCACTTTACAAAACATGTTTTAAAATGGTATTATCTCTGAAACAATTGCTATCTAAACAGCTTTAAAAGCATAAGTGTTTGCACTTTTATTCACCAAATGTTTTTTTTTTCTTTTACAAAATTAAAACCGCAAATAATCAAATAACAATCGCTTTTCTATGCCAATTCAAAATGTCTTTGTTCGGCCATTGTAACAAGCATGGGGCAATCAACTGGTTCATTTCTTCATGCGCACGCTCCTTACCTCTGCAGGTTTGTTGGCACCAAGCATTTTGAGACCATTTGGGGGCACATCTCCAGTCAGCTTGGACTTACTGACAGCAGGAGAGGCTGTGGACCCTGAAACAGTTGTTAAAACTGGCATTACATTTAAAATGTTATTTCAGAAAGAGCATGTTTCATATATTCAAAACAATTCCATAAAATACTGAAATTTCTTTTGAATGACCAATTTGTTATGTTTTAATTTTTTATCTTATTTCTAGATATGAAAACTTTTAATGTTTTGTATTCTTGGTAACATATCTGATGATTAAGTTATTATTTAAGTCTCTATCTTTAACATTTCTTTCTTTTCAAAAAGAAAGAAAAGTATTATTTTAACAATTTCATCACATATCTGAAATATACTACCAAGTTTTCTGTTCCCTAACACGGTTGATAAAAAGAAAAATACTGTAGCTTTGTTAATTTAACAGGGAAATAAAGTAACTGGTATTCAAGATAAGTGGCCATTTCTAAACCTGTACATATTGTTAGTCTAGAAAGATCAGCAACATTACCTCTTTTGGATTCTTCATCATCACTGTCACTCAGCCTTCTCTTCTTTGGTCTCTTTCCAATGCCATCTGCTCAAAATACGGGTAGATTACCATTAAACTTATTCACTAATTGAAAAAAACCTAGGCACTATCCAATGTCTACACTTCTAAAAGTTTCAAAAACAGAGTTAAAGTCAGAGAATTCCCAATGATCAAATATAACCAAATTATACAGTTAAAAACAGAAAACCACAAAATATAAAGATATAAATGTCTATCCTGAACTCTTATCTACATTTGCAGAGTCACTGGAGTAATCGCAACTTTTACACAGCTGTGTTTTAGATAGGAGAAAATTGACAGGCGTCTACTGCAACAAATGTTGAAAGCATCAAATATTAACTCAGTTTCTGCTCTGTTGCACGTTCATGTTACAAAGCACATGCCCATCAGCATAACTGAATTTGTCTTTTTCTATATGCACTTATCAACCTAACAGAAACATCTGTTCCCTTGTTCCTCTTGCAAATATTCATGATATTGTATACATCTCTTGGGTAGCGCTAGCAATTTTTTCACTTAGCCAAATCACCACATTTTTGTCAATTTGTTATCAAAATGGTTATAATTTGGCTAAAACGTCAAATCAAGCCCTTTTTCTTTAGCCAATTTAAGTCAGTTTTAGCATTTGGCTAAATTGGCGAGTGTTAGCACTACCCCATTATCTGATCATATCCAAACCATTACTGCACATCCTTTTTAAACTAAATTGATTTGCCTGAGGTACAGCATGGTTACAATGACATAGCCAAGTCAAATCACAATTTAATAACCACAAATGCATTCAGTCTTCTATCAACCATATGATTATATTTTTTTCACCAATTCTATTACAATTATTGCCATATAAAATGAAGAATATGGAAAACGCTGAATGTAAAAATTGGCTGGTATGAAGAAAAAACTAAACAATGATGACAATGACACACTACCCATTTCATCAATAATTTCAAAGTTCACACTTGATCCTTTTCTCATCAAATAACATATACCATTTGATTAAATTTTGAAAATTGTTACGATTTCATTTACCAATTAACTTGTCCAAAACAGTGATGTTTTCCTTGTGAACTTCTGTAACATACTAACAAAAACTTATTTCAAAGCAAATAAGCTCAGAGGAAGTCATATCTTGATTTGTTTCAAATCAGCAGAGTAGAAGTAATTTCCTGCCATGTTTTTCTCCAATAAGATCAATACCTTTTTGCAAACAAATTTTTCTCTAATGATAATCACAGAATGTCAATTCTGTGGTCCATGAGGGGATGAGGTTTGATTTCATCTTTTTTTCATTTTTCAATCAATATTTGCTTAGAGGTATTCTATCATCTTTTTACCACATTACTTACTCTAAAGCAATCAAAATCCAATTGTACCACCCTGCAGCATTTCAAATAACTTTCTAATTGAAATGTTGAAAACAATTCAATGGTATGAACACAAGTTACGTTCATGAGAACTGAGAAATTCTGATAAACAAGGGGTCGTCTTTTCTCACAACCAAACAGGGACCTCTCCTGATGATTAAAATATGATTTAAAGGGATAACAACTCTTCATTTTGAGAGCCATAAAACTGATTTTCCTAGGTAAATGAAAATATTTCCACACATTCAATTGTTTAATGATTCCAAATAGACATTCACAGTTTTTTTAAACTGAGGTTTTTGTAGTAATCTCTTATGAGGGTCACAATGGTCTGATGGCAAGCACAGATTTCAGAATAATTGCAATAACCACCGTTATGGTGGTAAAATGAAATTTATTATATTCAAGTGTGTTTATATTTATTGTGGAATTATGAATCTCATGTGAAGAGTTGTTATCCCTTTAATAAAATGAATTTTAGAAGGACAAACCTGCATCCTCTCCCTTTCCTTTTCCACGCTTACTTCTTCCAGACATGATGTTGTTTAGTCAACCCTGGAAATAAATACTTTTTGATTACATTTTCATTTAGGGGAGGTTAATCAATTTATCAAAATAATCATCTGCATATTTTCATAATGTTGAATATACAGGACATGAAAATATTAGTCTGTGGTGTAAAACAATATTTGGTGTTTCAATGACCAAAAAAGTAAAATAAATTAAAATAGAAATAGAGACGCCCTTTACAAATAACTACTAAGCTTTTTCATTGGAACAACTGCCTTATTATTAGAATATTTTATAGAATTTAATTAAATATATTATGTCAATATGATCTAGGGCAAGCTGGAGTGAAAACCTATATCACTATCGATTCTTTTGGCTGTTGCATCAACATAACATTCATAACATAAGAACAATATTATTGTCTCTATACATGACTATAACTGACATCAATTAGCCCCCCCCCCTTCAAATAACTCATGTCCTCAATATTGAGTTATAATCTAGGTCAGTGACCTTGTAACTTGACCCTTACTAGCCAGTGAGTAGCATACATTGTGACATTCTATGTGAGAGACCAAACCTGAATTAATTTTTTGTCAGAAATGTTAATTGTCAACAGACTTACTATTTTATTGGAATGCCTGATGTTTTTATGTCCTGTATTATGTCAGGTCAATCATATTTTGGGCAACCCGCCAAATCTCGTTCAATTCTCTGACGTATTACATTCGTCAAATAGCATTACTACCATCATGCAATTAACGCAAAATACACTGGAGTCTTATTCTTGAAACCAAGACTTGATCGCTATAATATGTGATAGGTATATAACGGGCTGGTTGTAAAATTATAAAGCGTATGCATAGCGTAAAATGCATTTGGAGCCAAATTTGGTTAGCTCATTACGTATTCAGGCGTTTACCATACCTTCGTCTTTACGTCTACAGCGTACCGACGTTCGTCGTCAGAATCTTTAGTATTTTGAGAAATAACTAAGATCCCTAAATGACCAATCAACAAAATGTCTTCTGTTGAATGATGTAAAATATCAACATGTCTTCGGTTGGCGCCACCATCATGGCGTATTTTGCAAAATTACCATGTTTGAAAGCGTCACGTGACAGGGCGCGAGGATTTGCGTGGATTTGCATACAGAGCTGAACAGTTCTTCTAATGATTTGTTTACACCAATGTGTTTTCTTGATTTTATAAATTGAAACATTCAAATAGACATAAATATTGTAGTATGCATAGAGTGAACACAAATGTTGAATTTATTCCAATGGAAATAATCCTTTTACATTACACTTCAGATTTAATTACCATAGCAACCACCAACCGCATCACATAAACTGCTGAAGAGAAATTAAGACGCGTATCATAAAAATTGCATTTTTTGGCGAATATAACATTACAAGTTCACAACAGAGGGCAAAAGTTTGACAAAAGATAAGAATTTTAGAACACTTGTTTAAATTTAACCATTATTCACAGAGGCAAAGCCCTCTTTTTATGCGGAGTAACATAATCGCTAGTGCCACTGCGGTGTAAACAAAAGCCGCCATTTTAGAGGACTAGTAGAGCCAAACGTGATAGACAATATTAATCAAGGATACCAATCTTAGAACTATGGCAGAAAACAAATATGATTTGTTGCTTGTTAAGACATTAACAGATAAGAAGATCAGAGAGAAACCATGGTAGGTAAATTGCTGCAATGCTGCAAGAGCAACACTCTTAATCAGTGCGAGCACTGCGATTCGTGAATGATCAGCAATGCCTGTGGCTGTGCTGTGACCGTTCACTCACCACATTGAACCTGTCATTTTTTCATTTACATTGGTTAATATCAATTCTGATTAAATTCATGCTGTCAGTTATCTGCAAGTGATATACACCGACCAAACCAATTTGGTCACTCTGAATTTTAAAAGTCAGTTGATCAGCAATGCCTGTGGCCACCTGTTAGCTAGTGTTACTCAAACATTGTGCCATATCATATTACAGGTACTTTCAATGCTTTATAATTGTTTTCAGATAAAATCACTCTTTTGCCAATGGCATATGTCTTTCTTAAAATGATTATATAAATAAATTATTTTAATATCAATGTCTAATACAGTGTCTATCTTCAATACAGCAAATTATCAAACAAATTACAACTTTCTTCAGGTGAAATATTTGGAGTTGTAAAGCAATGTCAAACCAGTAAGATTGTCTTTTTTCTTCATTTGAACAGGTATAAAGAGAGGATATATACAAAATATATCAAGTCGTTGAAGCCTACAGACACATCAAAAATGTTGATAGGAAAAGACTGGATGTTTATAAAAGATGGGCTAGATGATTTCCGAGATGGATTACCACCCCAAGTAGATGATGGGGATATAATGATAAAGGTATGTCAATAATGTGCGTTTTGAAAAATTACAGTGACTTTTGTTATCATGGCATACCACTGAAATTGACAAATACTGAAATAACACCTTTAAGTTTAGTATTATGAGATACAAAAAAGTATCATTACCTAAGTTATCTGTAATTTTCTTTATATTACAACCTTATTACACCTAAATAATCCTTTTTATTTGATTGTTATTGTGATGTCATGGTAATGAATCTATTTAAACAATGCGCTAGATAAGTTTGTGATTATCTTTTTCATATCTGTTGAATTTGTGTGTTAATTACAGTCAAGCAAAGGACCAGCTCCAAATCTAATGGGCAGTGAGCACAGCACCCCAGTCAAACAGCCAGCACAGAGGAGGAGGTTCAATAAATATGAAGTTTGCTACTCTAGAGTGACACCACAAATGCAGAAACGCAGGGAACATATAGATGAGATAGAGTATGGATTAACACAGCACCCCTTAGCTTTATATCCCCATTTAGAGGAATGCATGCCACCAGAGGTAAATTATTTTTAGTAAAGCCGCCTGTATTATAACCCCACCCTTTAATGCAGCAAGTGGTATACCTAGAATTTTAACAGAAATTGATCTTAACTATACTCATTTTGTTGAAAAATGTGCAGTCCCACAACAATTGTGCATCTGTTGTTGAAAATATACAATGGAATATGACCTTTGTTAAAAGTGATTCATTCATTATTATTGTGATGTCATCATTTTGTTGCCATGGTCATAAGTACAATCAAACAGTGACTTGCAGATAATGAATAAGTTTAGATCTATTTAATCAAATGTTTTTGCATGTCTTTTGGTTTATAATTTCAGTTATTTGAGGAGGTGGTAGATATCCTAGATCCTGAGATGAATGTGGATCCTGGCGATGAATCTGATGACAGTGAATCAGAAAAATCAGAATCCATGGACCAAAAAGTTGACGAGGAACCACAGAATGAGCAGGAAGAGATGTAAGAAAATTATATGTACAATTCAAATATGTAACTTTTCATAATATTAGAAATGTGCTTATTAAAATTTTTATGTGTTTAGTTTTGTATAATATTTCTACCTTGCATGTGGAGACTGAGATTAAATTGTTTATTTATTTATTTATTTATTTATTTATTTATTTATTTATTTATTTATTTATTTATTTATTTATTTATTTAAAGGGAGGATGATAGGATTAGAAACCCATATAGATGGTTGCCAAGAAAAGAAGAAAAAGAGAAGAAAGATAAAAAGAAACAAACGGATAAGAGGCCAAGTTCTCCATCACAGGTAAAAAATGCATATAAAATTTGATTTTTTATATAAGGATTTGTTATTGCATATGACACTGATTTTATTGCATATGACACTGATTTTATAATGATTGTGTTGCATAGAAATACTTCAGTTGGTTTGGTGTTGTAATTTGTCATTGTTTACTTTCAATTTTTAAATTTCAGACAGTTTTCAAATGTATTGATAATACAACTTACAAATACATTATTCATGTGAGAAAAGAAAAAATTGATTAAATAAACTCCTTGCACATATTTTTATATGAAAGAATTGGTTGTTTTTCTTTTAAGGATGAACACATCAAAACAGTTACCAAAGACTTCTGTGATTGGGTGGCAGGCTTAGGAGGAGAGAGCAATAAAAACAACATAGAGGAGTCAACAATTACTAGTTTATTTGCCAGTGGATATGAGACCAAGCCAGCTTTGTCTGTTCCAATCCATGTTGTAGAGTTAACCAATGTGCCACCAGAGTTGAGGCAGTCGGCAGCAGTGCCACTAACACAACAACAAAATAACAAAAATTTGCCAACAGCAGAACAAGTTAAAAAAGATTGGGTAAGTCAGACCATAATGCATTTCTTTCAAAGCATGGATTTTACTTGTGATACATCATACTAGTCAAGCATTGACATCATGCTTCTATTTGCTCAGATTCAGACATTGTGACATGTGATGAATTATTCAAAATTCATTTATTCCCTAATGTTCAAATAGTCTTTTGTTGCAAGAATATAAATTCAACAAAATAATGGGATGCTATCTAACTTAATTACAGTTACTATCTTACACATTTGCAGTCATTTTTAATGATGGCATACAAACATAAAGTCCAAGTTTTATTGATTGATTGACTGCATAGTGAGTAATGTTTTCTAATATACAGTAATTGCCAGTGTTTTTAATAACTCAACTTATGGTTATTTTATTTACTTTTTGTTATCCAGATACATTCAGGAAATTATGAACCAAGCTGGGTACCTCATAAATATGGTGCTTGGTATTTACCCACAAAACTTTGGCAAAAGCGCCCAGTAGATGAACCACTTCAGGATCCTAAGGCATTGAAAGATTTAGAAAAATCAGAAACTAAGAAAAAGAGCAATGAGAAGGTAAGGATTAAAGTTAATTAATAGTTGTTTTGATAAAAATGCTTACAGTAATATTCTCCCTTATTTTGGTAGTAAAAAATCTAAACAAGCTTAAATTATTTACTAAATTTAGACAGATTTAACTAGCTTAAATGTCTAATTTGAAGTTGTTTTACAATTCAGCTAAATATTATATAATATAAGAAATAAAATCTAATTTATTACCAAATAGTCTATAGATATTAAAAGAATTAAGCAAAATTTAGACAGATTTAACGGTACTATGTTTGCATGTTGATGTGTGTCAGGCATTTTAGACTGAAATACTAAAGCAAGGATATTATATGCTGAATTATATGAAATGATTAATTAGATGATTTTAAATTCCATTTAATTTCAGGATCATGAATTGGCACCTCTCCATGGCTCCAAAGCATTTATGGATTTTATTGATAGGAAAAAAGTAGTGAGAAAACCAGAGGTAGGTTTGACTTGCTTCTGAAATTGTGTGCAAAAAAAAAAAAAAAAGAAAAAAAAAAGGCACTATTTTGTGGAGAAATGGAAAAGTTCATTTAAACACATCTGGTACAAGTTAAGGTATTAGTTCATTATAAATGGGAATGCCCTAAAGATAAATATAGCGTTGTGACATATATTGCAGTACAAATATGTTGGTTAAATTTATAAATAATTTCATGCATTAAAAAGACAGAATGTCTTATAGCTCATGATACTTCTCTCTCTTCAGTTTCTCATACATGTGGCAGAGATACAAAGAAAAGCTGCAGAGGAGGAGGCAGCCAAATTATCTGCTGAACAAAACAAAAGCAGACGGCATAATACGGCTATATCAACTCCAAGCACAAGATAGTTCATATTCATATTATTTGCTGAATTCATCAGTTTTTAATTCATCTGACATCTCCATCATCAGTGACTTATTCATGAATTCATTTTTATGAAAATATGTAATATAAATAATTGTAAGTGTATCATCTCATTAGATATCATTAAATGTTGCCATAAACTGTAGAAAAGCATTAATTACTAGACTATATCCCTTTCAGCATATGAAATTTGAGAGAAACAAATGTATAGTTGTTCATGTTTATACAATTGATTAAAACTGCTGGACAGTTATAATGTTGTGATATAATTATAATAGTGTGTAAAGCAATTAAGGTTAAGAAATGAGAGTAAAAGAGTGTTGATGTATTGTAGATGCTAATAAATGAGAGTATAATGCTGAGACCTGACAGGAGTTTCGGTTGCTTTCTCATTATACACAAGTAAATAATTTTAAAAGAAATTGCAATTTTTAATTAATTTTACTTTTGGATGAGCATTACAACATGCATTTTGTAATTGCAATTTTTAATTAATTTTACTTTTGGATGAGCATTACAACATGCATTTTGTTAAAACAAGACAAAGAATGCTATGTTGTTACTGTTGCTTAAATTTTTTACGCTAGAGAAAAGCACTATTTGAATTCATCTTTACATATATCTAGATATTCAGGCCTCTGTTAAATACACCGCAATCGAACTAAAAACAAATCTATATCTTGATCTGGAATGACGTTATGCTAGTTTGTTAGTATTATTTGGGCTTGTCTTGGGCATCCTTGACCCTATGCAGTATTCACTGGCCAGGAAACTTCTTTGATCGAAAATATGTAAAGTTGTACCCTACAAACTAAAAATTCATATTTTTGTTCTCCTTTATCAAATCATTTACACATTATTCAAGCTTATATGATTTTAGATACATATTATGGCAAACCCTGTGCCGATAATGTCCCAACCGAAACAGAAAAATCGCCATATGGGCCATGAGTAGTAGCCAACATGGCAGCCTACAATCGGTAGCTGAAGCGAAAGATCAATCATATTTTGTACTGTTCTCTCTTTTTCGCTTAACAATAACGGTGAATTCTTCGTTGACGGAGGATAGGGAAACTGGTCAAGTCCTTTGCCAAATCAAATCGTAAATTTTTACATACAATATGCTAGCGAGACACTTAAAAAGCCGGCACCTTGCTTGGTGTTCGGAATTAATTCTAATATTGTTGGTCACGTCATCGCTGTTTGTAATAACATCAGATGCAGAGGAACTGAAATTTAAAAAAGAAAATGATTCCAAGGATGATGTTAAGGTAAAATATTTTGTTTGTTTGTTTGTTTTAAATATTTGATTAGTTAAATAGTGCCGCTAGTTTTTAATTTTCATAGTGTCATCTCGCAAGGCGAAATGGCGTGAAAATTAATTACTGAATTACCATGTAATTTACTAATTACTTTGCATTAGACACATATTTTCATTTAAATATGGAACAGTAATGTTTTTACTCTGATCAGAACTTCCCATTTAATTTTTTCATCAGTTCTTTATTATGTTTATCTTAATACAAAATAAAAAAAAAAAAATTAATTCAGTTCAAATTTTAATGTTAGGATGTACTGCTTGTATCTGCTTATTGTGGCAGCATACTGAGTGGAGGTTTCAAATGTTCTTTACACTTGGACTTTCACTGTTACAGTTTTCACAAAAACTAGGTTTGTGTGAACTAACATGCTTAATCATGTGGAGTTTTTCAATAAGTGCTTATTTACATTTTGTCAAGCACAACCATATTCCAACTCTTTGTATTCCCATTGGCAGCATATAACTGGTTACCTAAACTGGCATTGCTACCTATTTTTTTTCTTTGGGGGGGAGGGGGGTTCGTGCACAAAATGTCAACATCTGCTTTTGATCTTGGGCTTTATTCCAGGAGTAGATTCACCTTTTCTGTTTGAACATACACTTGTACCACAAACAATTTTTTTCAGGAGGTTGCTATTAAAAAGATTGCTTCTAAGCTGAAACCCGAAATCCCTGAGATGGACCTGGGTTTTGTCCATGCCTTCGTAGCATCCATATCAGTGATTGTGGTCTCTGAGCTTGGAGACAAAACCTTTTTCATTGCTGCTATCATGGCAATGAGACATTCAAGACTGATAGTGTTTGCTGGGGCCATGGGTGCTTTAGGACTGATGACAGTGTTGTCAGGTATGTCTTCAATGGAAAAAAAAAACGTCAATAAATAGTTATGGTACATGGAAACACATTAAAATCCTTTTGAAATGAGATGGGTTGCCTTGTTAAGTACAGCATAATACAATGGAGATAAAAGTACTCGCAACATTAAAGGGATAATAACTCTTCGTTTCGGCCAAAAAATGAATTTTCCTGGAGTAAACAACAATTTTCCCATACTTAATGGTTAATAAATCCATTTTTTCATTCAAAGTTAGTCCCTGTTTTTTTTCTAAAAAGTTTGTTTTTTTATTAAAATCTCTAAGAGATTTTAACAGAGTATAGCCATTAATGGAGGTCACGTGGTCTAAAGACAAGCTCAGATATCAGAATAATAGTTATAACTGCAGTTTTTGTGGTAAAACAGAATATATTATATTTCTATGAGTTATTCACAATGTTTTTATTGTGAAATATAGATCTCATACAAAGAGTTATTATCCCTTTAAAAACAGTTTAATTCAGGTTCAAGCATGTTTGACACTGCTTTATGCTATATATTTATTTTTGCCAATGTTTCAGCTTGTCTGGGTTATGCCACCACTGTCATCCCAAGGAAGTTGACATTTTATTTGTCATCTGCTCTGTTTGCAATATTTGGACTCAAAATGCTTAGAGAAGGTATGTCTTGTTAATTGATGATTTATGATGATATCACATGAATAAGCTGATCAGTGCTTGCAATGTTTATAAGACCCAGGACTATATTAGAAATAACATGAATATTAGCATTATATAATAACATTATATATATCAAAATAATCAAACTGCTTTTGTGTAGTATCCATGTTCGTCAAACCTCCCATACCAGTGCTATAGTATAAAGCTGCCATTTCCCCCCTAAAAAGATAATAATAATAATAATAATAATAATAATAATAATAATAATAATAATAATAATAAATGTATGAGTACTGTAAATCTCTGACACTTAAATAGCAAATGGGACACATTTTTACTTTCTTACTTGTAGGCTGGACAATGTCTGATGATGAGGCCAAAGAAGAATATGAAGAAGTTCAGGCAGATCTCAGGAAAAGGGAGGATGAGGTGTGTTATAACATACCAATATGTTTCCATAATTGCTTTGAATCTAGATAAATTTTAATGTACAGGTGTACATAAGGTTATTCAATTTAAAATACATCAGTGAACATAATTTTTTGTCAAAAAAAGGGGGGATTATAGCATATAACAAATAGGTCTTTTAGGAAGATACATAATGTCTTTTTCTCTAATATCTTTCATCTCCCTATTAAACATCAAAAAATTCTGTTTCCACCTTCTTGTTTCAAGAGAATTTAAAGAGGTTAGTTGGGTTATTTCCTTTGCCTGATATGAGGACATGACTTAATTTTACAAAAGAAAACAAGATGTCACAGATGAAAAATCCTGTGGAATAGTCCAGATCATTTAACATTTTGACAGTGCTACGATGGTTTCTGGATTAATTTTTTTAAAATAATTACAGCTTTTATGTTCTTTTAGCTTTCTCAGCATATTTTTCCTTATTAATTAATAGGTGAACACATTGTTCTTTGCACTTGTACTTATGTAATATATGTATCTTTCAGTTTGAGAAGGAGAATGTTACAACAGATATAGAAACAGGCATAATACGAGTAAAGAGGCGTGGCTGGCTGTCTTGTTTACCAAGGATCTTCATACAGTCTCTGACATTAACCTTTTTAGCAGAGTGGGGGGACAGGTCTCAAATAGCAACTATTATATTAGGAGCCAGAGAGGTAAAGAAAAATAAAAGAAAAAAAGAAATTCAGCCAATAATCAATATTTTTATTTGTGTTCCTTATCTTTTACTATTTTTCAGAGTTTAAATCATGTTTGATCGTAACTTCTTGTCCTGGTATGATGTAAGAAGGTCATGTTTTATGATCCAGTTAATATTAATTTTATATATTTTATCATGATGTGCAGGATTATTCAAATTTCAGTGAATATAAGATCATTTAAAAAAGATAACATCAACAAAAGGAAATAAAAGAAAAAAAGCAACATATTTGAATTCTGTGTGCAATTATTTGTAACACAACCACAGTGAATTTTGTTTCTTTTTCAGGAGGTAGCAGGTGTAATACTAGGAGGGTGCATAGGTCATGCCCTCTGTACTGGGTTAGCTGTATTAGGGGGGAGGTTCATTGCTCAGAGGATCTCAGCTAGAACTGGTGAGGCATGATTTCATCACTGTTGTATTACTGTCATGTGAAGTCTTCCAGTGTAATTAAAAATCATACAGACTGAGGGCAATTTTTGAACAGAACTTAAACTCCTCTCTCTCTCTCTTTCACTGATATCTGGTGGAAATATTAATGGATTAAAATTATTTGAATATCCATCGAAGGTAATCAAGGCTATGTGTATTTGTATAGTGCAGTAATGTTGCTTTCTGAAAAGTTCAGGCAATACAGTGTTTACTAGATAAAATACTGTATTTTTTGCCTTATAATAGTCACTGACAACTGATTTGCTTTTCCTTTACATTTTCAGTCCATATGATTGGTGGAGTTGTGTTCTTGATTTTTGCCCTCTCGGCTTTTATAATTGACCCAGATGAGCACTCCTTATAGAGGGAGGACCATATGAAAAGAGACATATAACTGCACAGATACAAGATATACCAAAGTTTACAATGGATGGGGTATATACGTTGTGTATGGGAGTGAATGAGGCGTGAAGAATTTCCATTGACATCTGGGTCTCTAGTCAACAACTTAATAGGGATGAGATTTTTCTGACTATCAGCAGATTTCGGACTTTTTTGGGAGCTAAAAATATCATTGGTCTAGTCAGCTCCATGGATCCCATGCTATATTTTCCAACTTTTTCACTAAATGACAGTGTCATCCCTTGCTGTTGTCTGATAGATTTGTTTTCCAAATGTCGAAGCAGATTCCAAGACCTATTGACAAGGGGTCCTGCAACTTTTACACAATTAAGTTATAAACACAGTGTTTCATTTTCATCAGAAGACCATGTATCAGTGTAAGGTATGGTTTGCACACACTGTTGCACTTTGCAATAAAGAAGGTTTTTGTTAAGCTCATATCAATTTTGTCTATAAAGAAATCACAATAGGAGATATTGATCCTTTAAAATAGATTTTTTATGGTCTCTTGTGTAATAGTTATAAAAAAGTAAATTGTTGCTGTGAGGACCAAACTTTTTTCTTTTCCCTACGAGGCATGACATTTTGACTCTTCCTGAAAGGACCCTGATCACACTGACAAGACAGTCATGATCAAGGACCTTTGAAGAAGAAACGTAATGCCTCATAGTCACAGTCTCTTCAGAAATTATTTTCTTATATTATACTTTATTATTACTTTAACCTCTTTATCCCATGAGGATCTAAGCACACTTCATATCATATTGATGCCTGTTTGAAAGTTGCTGATATACCAAGGGCTGTGAATTAACTGACATGGATAGGGTAACATAGTATATGTACATATTGGATTAAGTATACCACTCCCGGTGTTAATTTATGACATATGGTGCATATACTTCATTGGTGCAAAATCATCCCAAGGAATGACTGTATACAATTGCACTTTAGCTTTGTGCTATAGTTTTAAACCAAAAGCAATCTGAAGTAACCCTACACACAGCTTGGTTTGCAAAATGCTCATAGGTAAAATGCATACCATGTCTTACCTCTAGGGTCCTTTTACTAGTCAAAGGCCTACATCTTAATCAGAATGATAGCCTAGCAAATGGCCTAGATCATGATCTGTCTCTTTTTATTGCTTACAAAGCAGGTGATTGTTAGACTTAGTTGGGCAATCTCAAAGATTATATGTTTATCTTTTTGAATATTGATTACAGAGAAATTAGCAGGGAATATAATGGTACAAATTGATATATATTCCAGTTGTGCCAGCAAAAAATAGTATCAGACAGGAGCTTTGTTTTTGTGAATTGGGCAGTTGTGATTTTTTAAATTCAGTTCTGAAGGCAACCCTCGGACTTCCGGCCAATAGATATTGGTGCCACAATAAATGTTCAGAGATTTTTTCAAATACTGAGGCTCACGTATGAAGTTTTCCAAAAACTTTTAAAGATAATAACAACTGTGTATCATGTAGTATTCCAAAAATGAAAAGATAACAACAACCAGCGATAAGCTGCCAAGTAATTATTCAAATGTTTTTTTTTTTTTTTTCAAATAATGTAGTTAAGAGGTGCATTTACTTGCACTTGCATTTCTCATTTTTATTATGTGCAACAGAAATTAATCAAACTGTTTTTATATGCAAGTGGGTGTATAGAGCTTTATTATAGTTGCAGCCGAGTCACAATTTTTCTATCTAGTTAAGATGTGAGGTTTCAGATTAAGATGATTGTATATATTGTCTTTCAGTTTTCCTTTGGAATTCCAGTCATTTTGTTGTTTCAATTTATAGTATATATCTTGTGACAAATTAATGTATGCTAATTATCTATTACCACTACAAAGAATACAAAAGCATAAAATGGATTGTTTGATTTAAAAAAAGCATTATGCTCCTTGATTACTCCATTTTTAAATTAATGGGTTTCTCAAACTTTTTACCAGAATGTATACATTGAATTGGCAGTATAAGATTGTCTATTAAAATTTCAAAGCACATTGTTAGTTTAGTCTGAACTGAAAGGATAATACTGAAAATGATATGTCTGAAAATAATTGGAAGCGTTGAAAACAATCCAAATAAATTATATCCTTGAAACCAACTTCAGATTACTATTTATATTTTGAACAGCTGTGGTTTGCTGTGTAAGTTACATGTTTTTTGATGGCTGTGCCATGTGTAAATACAGATGTGTATCATGTTGTTATACACTATGCATCATAGAATTAATCATAAGCAAGATTATTTATGTAATTTGTACAGGTGGCATTAGTGTTATGTGGGTAAAATTATTGTTATATATTAACCACACCATCTCACGTGCTATAACATGGAAGATTCTTACAAACAGGGACTGGTTTCTCTTAAAGATTTAGATCAGATATTGGTTTCAAATTCAATCCAAAACAGTGTTCTTATTTCAATAGCAAGCAAGTTTATAAGCCTTATCATATTTATAGCATTACTAAAAAAGATAATTTTTTCAAGAAGGCTTTTGTATGCAACAGTCATTAAAAATTTGATTTTGTCAATTTTGATTAAGAATTTTATTGTTGAATCTAGAGGTAAAACGGAATGAAAACAGGCAATCTTTAGTTAGCTGGTGTTAGTTCCTTCAGATTTTTCTTAAGTTTCTCCTTAAAATAATTGTTCTCTGCTAATGTATTGCAATGAAAATCTTGGCCAGCAACTTTAAATGTTACTGGAAAAGTGAAATTTTAGTTTTCATCTTTTACGGTTTTGTGTTAATTGGATATATTGGTTGCCGAGGTTGTTTGCCGAGGTTGTATTCATAAGCAGTCTTGTACCAATATAGGATGAAAAGAATACAAACTTCCGTGTAACTCAATAAAACATTTAATTCAAGTCATGTTATTCAGGATTTTGTTATAGTTTCACACACTTAAAATTCCTTCTTAAAAGAGAACAGATATCTCAGGTATCTTAAAATATATATTTTCAATCGCATAATGTGTGCTCAAACAATCATAAAAAACTTTCCTCTTTACAAAATTAATCATGCCTCTTAACTTTCGTTTATTATTTTTCACAGCATCTGTTAAAATTTTAAAATATGCAGCCTAATAAATAACACTGTGCAAAGTTGATTAATAAGGCTTTGAAGGGTACACGTAAATTGCACACTTTTAAACCAGAAAGCAAAACACTCCGCAATTGTCTTCTTTAAAATTCTAAAACATACATACATAACATGTAAACTAACAAGAAAGTTCCAATAGTAAGCATTGTTTTGTATTCACTTTCCACAATTACACACTATATGTACGTATAATCACTATTTCAGAAGAAAGCACCAATGTTGCATCCAAACCATTTGTGCATTTTAACTTATTTTGCTATTAATGCTGAAAATGGGGCACTTTTCGTATAGTGTCTGGAACAGATAAAACTAAAACCTTTGAAAAGGACCATCCATGGGCTACTAGAATTTGGTTACTTGGTATCCCACGAAGCCTCCTACTGCACCTTGTACAGGCTCTCCATTAGAATTAGCCCCATTGATCCCATGCATAGAGATCAGCGATAGGTTGGAGGCCTTAATATAAGGAGTGTCCCCCCTGGGACCCAGTAAAGATGGGGATGGGCTTATACAGGGAGTGCTACACCTGGAGCTGCTCAGATCACACTCATCAAGTAGCTTAATAAGTTCTGTGGGGGTGGGGCCTCCATCATCCCCCTGGTCTGGCTCTCCCTTCAGAAATTTATCCAAAGCCGTGGTCAGATCCCAGATTTGCACACTCCCGTTGGCGTGACCCGTGAAGATGTAACGACGTGGTCGGGACCCCATGCGGCTGGACCCCTCAAATTCGTGCACACAGAATGAGGTCACAGTAGTCCCGTCCACAGATTTGATGACACAAACTCGTTTCCCTGTTGATGAGAGACGGACGTAGAGTTGGTGGGTTTCTGGTACTACTTTTTGAACAAACACTTGTTGGTCATCTTGCTCACCATATGGACCTGAAAAATGAAAAATAATTTAATTTCCCTCCCTCTCTCTCTCTCCTAATATAGGAAAGAAGAATGATGTTTAATGGAATGCACCAACAAATTCCATCATTCTGTCAGATATATGCAATTTATCAATAGACAGTGCTTAGAAAGTAAAGTAGTACCCTTCTATCTGTTATAGATAAGATAGCCCCATGGGTCTTTTTTCAAACTTTATATGGCTATTATTTTACAGCACTGACACCCCTTAAAAGTTACAGCCACACCCTCAGTTGTACTAAAATTCTGAAGGGCCCATGTAGATCTTTGACAACAGCTCTATCAATCCCTCAAGTTTCAAGTTCCTTGATGTTATACTGGAAATCATAACTGCTTGAACAGACAGATGCAGGGATGGACAGAATAAAATAACCCCTAACTTCTAACACAAAACTGCAGGGATAAAAAGATGAAAATACTAAACGTCCATTTTCTTACCAATATCATTTCCTGCTGAGTAGCTGACTAGGGGTTCCGTATCTTCTAAGGAGACAATTTTAAATGAGGCCAGAGGAGTAGAACCAGGCTGCGTGGATATCATGCCTCTGAAACGGGTTACACTCCAAGTCCGTACATGATAATACTCTGAACATACTGGAAAATAAAAAGAAAACAGTCAGCGTAAAATATCTAGAAGCAATTTGAACTGGAAAACATTCTTCAAGCCAGTTTTTACTTCCTAATTTTCATTAAAAATGTTTGAATTCTCAGGAATTTTCTTCAACCTTGTGTGATAAACAAAGATTTTCAGAACCTAAAAAAAATTTACAGAAGATTTCAATAAATTTTCACAAATGTATAAAACATGTATGTAACTGAAATACCAACATTTATAATTAAGTAACCAATAAAACCTTTTTCACTTCATCTACCTCCATCTCTGTCAGTCCTTCACTAACCAATACACTGACTTAACTTTAAATTTCTATCTGATCTTAATGCAAAGAAAATGAATTAAGAAAATAACAAGTACCTGAAACTAAGTGTTTCTCTGAAAGCATGACCTTGGAGACAGGACTTCGATGTACAGTGAAGGTTTGAAACAGTTGTGGACCTTGCCCCACTGTCTCTGGATGCTGCACTATCACACGGACTGTCCCAGCATTGGTGCCGTATGCTATCTCTATCCAATTCCCACTAAGCTCTCTCGTCTTTGGCGTCAGGTAAACACTTAAGGCCGTCACCATTTCATTGGCAGGATCGCGGTACAATTCCGTCACCAGGAGATCATTGTCCTTCATACGCAGGGGGAATTTCTGCATGTCAATGTAATAGATGGAGCCATTGTTACCTCCTAGAATAAGAAAAGAGCCCGCTGTGTCGTAACTCGTGATGCGCACTACGTCCTGTATCTGCCAATGCTGTGTCATGGAATGCCACACCCCCACTTTCCCTGTGTGGCTCAGCCCCACAAGCTGGCTCCCTATGAAGAATAAGGAGTCTATACAAACTGTCATATCAAACAAGCCCACAGCACGAGCCTCTCCTGCATCAGTCAGACTCCACAGGTGTATATGAGAACCTGTGGCCACGGCCAGCATTTTATTAGTCTCCTGATTGGCTGATGCCACTTTGGCATTCAGGGCGATTCTCTCTACTGGCTCCTCCAGGAATGGACTGGTCCACACCTGGTGCCAAGCTGTGGCCTCTTTAAGTCTGTAACAACAGACAAAATGGTTGTAAGCCACAGCTATCCAGTTGTGATGCCCCTTTACTATGGTGACACGCAGAGGATCCATAGAAGCCTGGTGGACGTGGGCACCGGGACCCATGTTACCAAATAGTAGCGACACGTCGTTTTTTCTCAGGTCCATCGAGGAGTTTCTAGAATGCTGCTGTTGAGCAAGGTGGTGAGCCAGGTCGACTGAAGAGTTGCGGGAATGGTGGCGGAGGTTTAGAGAGCCTTGACGAGAGTGGCTGAGATGAAGATCTGCAGAGGCATTCCGTGAGTGGGTTCTACCCGTGCGTTCAGACAGTCTCATCACATTTCCAGGTCTCACAGAGGTCTCCCTTGGCAAGACAGGCTCATTCAGTGGTTGCTGTTGTTGGTGGTGTTGGTGTTGTTCTGTGTCATCGTTATTCACTTGTGATGGAGCTCGATGCAGGGGAGGGTTAGGAGCAGGGATATATCCATGAAATATAACATCTCCACATGATGAATGATCCAGATCTTCACACAGCAGCAGTCGTTTTACCAGAGGTGTTATCCCATAATACTCTGCCTCATGACGCAAGGCACAAATGTCAACATCTTTAACGTCAATTTCCTTGGTTCTCAAATAGTTCAATATTAGTGAGAATAGTTTGGGATCCCTATCTATGAATATGGAACCTGTCTCATCTTTTAAAGAAGAGATTCTCCCACTGAGTAGACTAGTAAAGAAGGAATCTGTGCTCCATGTTAGGGTTTGTCTGGATGTGGAAAATCTGGAAAGAGATGAACATTTAATATTTCATGAACCACTACATACCCGGTATATTGACCGCTTTATTAAAAATACGTTTTTGCATTAATATATAAAGTGATTCTTTTTTCGTGAAAAATATAGTTCTGTATAACCAGCATTCAATAGCGAAGTGAGTCGGTCTCAAGTACAGTGTTTACATGTTGTAACGCGTCTGAATTTCATAAGGAGACTATCTGATTTTGACTCATTCTGCAGTCAGTGTCTGGTGAAATAACTTGCCATCGATAAATACATTTTAAGCACAGTTAGTTACCTTGTCCCTCCAACGTTTAAGTTTATAATGTCTCCCTGGATGTGAGATGGTGCAGCCATTCTGCAGCGCCGTAAAATATGTAAAAAACAGTACTTTTCACATACTTGGGCGTCGGTCGTCACCACTTGATTATCTGCTTGTGAAGTTATAGTACGCATGTGCAGATGTGAAAACGGAAATGAAAGCGCCAAAAGGTGGCATTCAGTGAGCAAAGACAAGCCACTTTTGGAAGTGATTTTTCCATAGCACCATCACTGAAAATCAGGTGGCACGTTAAAATAGGCTAATTGGACGTTTAAATAGGTCAATTATTTGTGAATATTTGTTTTCTATCTATCGTCCACATTTGGCAAATTTTAACTTCTTGTTCTATCAGTGTTCAGCATGCATGTACAACAGTCTATTATAGTAGCCCCTTCGATTTCTGAAAGAAAAAAAATCACACTAATAGGGCCTATTCCAGTCTTGAAGTTAGAATGTTGACTAGTTGAATCATAGTTCTAAACCGTGCCAAATGACACCGTTCTCCCTCTAAAATACCCTAAATTTTCGGGGCCCTTCGGTGGGTCCTGGACACCACGCCAAAGTTGGGGGTGGGGTGGGGGGGGGGCCGGTGGGGGGGGG